CAGGAAGGTGACAGAGATAAACACAATACTATATTTCCTTCCCTCCCACAACGTTTATCAGTAAGTTGATATAGCACAAGAAAACAGAACAGCCATTTATAGCTATCCAGTCTAGAAAAGGAAAGTTATGTAGGCCACTACTACATAAAGTTGTAGTAACAGTATCTTACAAGTCTGAATGCCCCTCCTCCCTCTCTCTTTCCTTCCTATTTACAAATATTGTCATGCCAAGATACTTGGTTACTTATAGTCATTGTTTAATATTATAGCAGAAAAGTTAAATTCTGTCATACATCTAGTAAAAGTCGTTCTTGCTTAGGGCAAAACCCAGAAAGGTCTTGCATGACTCCTAGTAGGCAACTTTTTTCTAGATATAATCTCAGCCTATGTGGAATGCCTTAGATACTTCATTAGACATCATCAACAAAACTCTTAAGAGAAAGACTTGTTGCACTGTGTAAATTCCCTTCACACCTTTACTTTGGCAGGTGGATGTTTTTCCAAACAAGTATAGTTTGCACTTAGAGGAAGAGGAGGATGGAAACTGAAAACTATACATGCAGACAGATTCTAGTATTATTATTGGTTTTACCAATGAAATGACCTTTCTGGATAAACTTGTTCCTTTAATACAGTTTTAGATATACAGTAAGCTTCTTTTTATAGGCTTAAGTCTTCTAAAATCTTGTTATAACAATAATATTTCTTTTTACATTGAGCATTGTTTCTCAACCGAAGATGTAATTTCTTTCAGTGTTGCATTACTCTTTAATGTAATAGTCATGGTATAAGAAGAGAGCTGTATACCACAAAATTTCATTTTAATGTATGCTGATTAGTGTACGTTCAAAATGACAATAAAGTTATTATTGTCATTATAAAGGAGATGTGCAGCAAAACTTACATACTTGCCTCAATATAAAATTGCATTGTCATGATGATGTCAGTGTTGCTTATCATCAATTTGCCACCATTATAGCATGATAATGAAATTCTGGAAGAGCATCCTCTCAGAAATAGATATGGCTTCTACCCTTCAAATGTTCTGGAAGTCTTTTGGGACCAGATTCTGTTCCCATGCCTGAGTTTAACATAAACTTTTGAAATTATGTATGTGTTATTTTAAATATTGTAAACTGCCCAAAAGGGTTGTTTTTGTTTTGTTTTATTGTTTGGTGTTCAGGCAAATTTGAAATCCAATCAATTAAAAAAAATACATCTGTATTTTTATTAGATAGCATCAGCACAAAGTCAAAAGAATTGCAATGATTTTTAAAAAGTCATAGCTATAATGATCAATGAGAAATAAAATCTGAATACAGATACTGTTCACCTGTGGCAATTGATAGAACCTTTTAACTGACTCCTGCTGTCATTTGAAGATGCCACATGGAAGTACATTATAGGCATAAAATCAAAGAAATATAATTGTTTTACCATGTAATCTTGATTACTTCGCATTGCAAATTGTGGTGGAAAAGCAGGTAATACAATTGAGGTCGCAACCATGTAAGTTTCCATAGAAATCCAGAGGAAATTATCGAAATGATCCTGAGGAATAAATTAAAGTATGTTTTAATTCCATTGTGATAAAATGTCATAATAGAATAGCTATTATTAATCTATTTAGTCAGTGAGCTTAGAAACAACATTATTATTTTCTTTAATATTTTCTTTAAAATAAGCACAAGCACAGCTGGAGGAGCTTGACTTCCTGATTCTGACCTTTGGACCTGCCTCACTCCTGCTCAGTTGCATGTTGCACCTTTTGATTATTGATTATGTAGTACTTTCATGTACTCATTTGCCGAAGGCAGGAAATGTCCTGACCAGGCTTCTCCTATTTAAGCCTTCTGAAAGAAATGGAGATTTCATGTTTTGAAATAATCCATAAAGTGGGAATAATAATAATAATAATGATAATTAAAGAGTTTTCATTACGTCTTCTGCCTGTTAGTTGGTGCTTATGAATGCATTCTTTCAGTCTTCTGCCCAGAGGTGGTGTTCAGCAGGTTCTGACTAGTTCTGGAGAACCCGTAGTGGAGATTTTGAGTAGTTCAGAGAACCAGCAAATACCACCTCTGACTGGGGATTTTACACTATCCTTCCCCTGCCACGCCCAGGAAAAAAATTTGAATCCCACCACTGCTTCTGCCTGTTTGTTGTACATAGGGGCTGTTGCAGTCTTTAAACTGTATCCTGTAGATGACTCCTCTTTTCCTTCTTCTGGGACTGTTGAGCCTTTTGATTTATGTTGAAAACTCTTTAATCTCACAACATATGGGCAGACTTAATCATAGCTCCAACTGGGAAACTGTCACCATCCTAGGCCAAGCCAAGTCCAAAAAAGCCAGAGAATTCTATATATTGTGCAAAAGATGCAATCAATAATCAAAAAAAGGAACAAAAGAATGAAACACTTACCCACCAGCAATTAACACCCAGATGAGCATAGATTAACACCAAGATTAACATCAGGAACTGCCAAACAAGTTATCCTAAATCACCCAGCCTAGTTACCTCCAAAACCACTCTCACCTACACTGACAGGACAAGCCACTAGAATATAAATTGAGAACAGTCCCTATTCCTCACTCATACTGATCATGTTTACCTAGTTGGGTAATAAAATGTCTGCAAGAAACTCAGAGAACAGAGACCCCTCATTTCAACTCTGAGCTACAAATATTCTCCTTTATTGGTAAAAGGATATTTTCTGCTTGGGGCTCAAATGATTTAATGATGCTTCTTGACTTTTTTTCATTGTGGCAATTGTACAAGAACTGAATGGCAACCATGCTTATGATGGTTGAAGGAGTTGTGCTTGCCAAATTTAACCTAACATTCAAATCTGGGCAAAACTCAGATGTAGTATTCTGCAAAGCCCACGATGTAGTAACAGGATTTAATGGACTGAGAGTAAACAAGTACTGATGAATGTGTTAACTGGAAATGATATTGTAAAATCAATTTTAACTTTGTAAGAGAAACACTATGCTCTCGTGGTTCAGGAGTAACTGTGGAACTCTATCAGCCTTAACATAAATACTAGTCTAGCCCTGTCACATGACTATTTACTTTTTTAACCATATACAATTGGGTCATTAAAACAACATTCATTTGGAATGCAATCTTGTTGAATACATAAATTCAACTTCCCCTTGAATGGCTGGGGATGGGACAATATTGCAGGAGATATTCCCTGAACATTTTAAACTCTCCCACCACTGAAGCTTCTTAGCAATCTCCTTTTACCTTTACATAATATCCTGAAAATTATGAATAGAACATATTGGAAAGTAAACAGGAATATTTTCCCTCCTGCTTCATGCACACAAAAAAACCCTTAATTTGATATTCCTCTGGAACACTTACTTCAGTAAATACATGACTCCAGGTTCGAAGATGGGCAGTAGAATTAAACATATGCAGAAATGCATTGCTGATTATGTTGACAAGCACAGGATAGCAGTTAGTTATCTCCATATGGCACATAAGTGTGAACCTGTATTTCTGAACCAAGGCAAAAAGTCAGAACACAAGGGACCCAAGTAAAGAACAACAGTTCTAAAGAATATAATTTACATAATTACAAACTTAACTTCTAATAAAAGCCATTTGGTTTTTTTTCTAATTTGAAAAAAGGCAAAAATTATGAATGCACCTTTTTGAAGCTAAGGTCTAATTTGGCCTTTGAACTGAACTCTTAATTTCCTCCTAAATTTATGTGGGATCATAACAAAGAAGTAGGCAGGACCAGGATAAATTAGTAACAGCATGATTATTCCAGACATATTGTATACTTTCAGTTTAGTAGCTTTGGAAGCCATATTAGCACCAGAAGCTTCCACGCTGCCACATTCTTGAGCCTGGGAAGATGGGAGGGGGGATTTTCATGGAGCGTGTGTGGTTAGACATAAAAGCATTCTTCTTTAGAGTCAAGGTCATATTGTTCCTGCACCTGGCTGAGGAGTAGTAGAAGGGACGTCTCCAGTTGGGATGGATGGTGACTGGAGTGATGGGGGCAGGAGGTGAATTTGTTATTTTACTTATTGGGGGGAAACCCAGGACTTTCAGATTCGGGATTTCCCACATGTGCCAGTTTACTACTCTAATAAAAGGGAACTTTGAGAACATGTCTGGTTCGGAGTTATGTGTTACAGTCGAGTTTTTCTGGAATGCTGACAACTCTGGCCATTCATTTTGGACCATAGGTTGTGGACCTCTGACATATGTATACTATGCCTTATGTATGACCATCCATTAAAGCAGAACACAGCCATCCCACAGAAGTGTCATTAGAAATTTAATAGAATTTTAAATTATTTTTTAGAATGGAAACCAGTCTTGATCATTTTAAAAAATCCATGTTCTTAATATTCCAGTAGTAAAATAAAAATTCATCATATTAGAAATACTACAATTTTCCACACAACATCGTTTTTTTGCATCTATACTGTTGGGTATATGGATACACCAACCAGGTTTGGGTTGAATAAATATGTAAACCCAGGATTAAGTGTCTATGTAGCTTTAAGCAAGAAACTGCAATGTCATTGTGGGTGCGGTTGCAGGCAGTAATAAAGGTAGGAAGGGAAACGTAATAGACCCGGCTTCTGGATGCACCTGGTTCTGTTCCTGGTCTGCTGCCTGCTGGAACGTCTATCTGCTTACTCTGGATGGCTACTGTGCCAGATACCATTTCAACTGAACACAAGGACTGTTTTGTTTGGTGAGCTGAGGATTCAGCGTTGTCTTTGAGAGAAAGGTATCAGGAGGAGACGATTTACAAGCAGATAAGAACATAGTATTTACTGTTAATGGACTTGATAACTGGATGGATATACTGGATAATGATATATGGACTGAATGACACTTCTTAATCTCTGTGTGAATTAAATAACTATTTTAAAACCACAAACAGTGTTTTTGTCTCCAGTGTGTGTATACTCTTGGGCCCACTCTCTCTCTCATTTGCCTGCCTGGCTTGACTGCTGCTGCACACTCTGCTAGGGGGTTTATCCCCAAACACTAACATATACAATGTTATTTGTACTTCTAGTAGAAATACTGTATATTTCTATTCCTTTTGATGAGAAGTTACAGTTTCTTTAGCATCTCTCTAGGATTTGGGGTCCATTTTAGATTATAGATGAAGAAGTAGTCTTTTTCTTTCTTTTCCGTTATTATGACTCTACTAAAGCACCACAGTGCTTTCTTGAATAGAAGTTATAATCTCCTCAGACAGTCATATTAGATTCCTTGGTCCATTGTCAAAAAGGAGGAAAAGAACTTATAGTTACCTTGTTTTCAAGGTCTACTTTGATGGCCCCATTGTGAACCAGCTGGTCACTAACTATATCACCAGAGATGACGTCCATCAAGATGCTTTGACTCTTCAGTGCCTGGATAAAATTATCGATTTTTCCACCTGGAAAAAAAAATGATTTTGCAGAATAAACAAAGAAGAAAGCATTCAAGCAATGAATAGTACAGAATTTAAATGAAATTATATTTGTACCTGCCATTAGCATGGAAAACCAGGGCCTCCAAACATTGATGAGTACAATTTCTCAGCCAGTGTAATTCCCCTTAATGAAGCTTATACAGTATAAAGGTATAATTCTTTTACTTTAAGATAATATAATTCCACAGACATTGTCTCTAGGAATTTAAATTGCTTAGCATGCCAATCATTATAAGAAGACCTACCACTTTAGAAGGAACAATTTTAGAGACATTTTCTAGTTATTTAATTGGCCATATTATTTAATACAATTTTTCCTGAATGATATGCTGGTTTCCGAATGCCTTTTAAGAATAAGAGAGACTGCACAATTTGCTCATTGAATTAACCCTCCCTTGCAGTATACCCATTTTCTGCTGGGCTTTTTTTAATTTGTGTTTTGTAAACCAACACTAAAGGGAGAGATTCCCAATTCGGAACTCATAAATTTTAGTATTTATTCATTGTAGATATTTTAAGCCAACAAACCATTGGATTCTAAATGGCTAAAACATGGTTGAAACTGTGTTGGATTAAAATGTGTCCTAGTTCAGTAAAGGAATAGGAGAGAAATGGGAGAGAATCTCCTTTTAGATTGATTGTTCTGTATCTGAGCTAACTTTCCACTATATTTCAGTATCTTCTTGAAGTTTCAGTGTGCGACTCAACTTCTTTTTCCCATAGTCCCTTCTCACTTTAGCTGATAGAAAAAGGTGGGATTTCCCAGCACAAACCACTTGTGTTTCATCCTAATTTTCTCCAATCAGATCATTTCAAAATAAAACTGTGCCAAAAGTTCTTAAAACTGGAATTATTTAGCAATGCATTTGAACAGAGATAGTTCACCTTAGAATTCTGCTACTTCTTTCTACTGCATTCTGAAGTTAGATATAAAAAATCAGTAAGGCACCAACTATCTCATAAATAACTGATTTATTTTTCAGCAGATTTAAGTTCAGCTCACGTTCAAGAGAAAGTTCTCAAGCCAATTTAAGCGCCAATAGAATTAATCCCCATTAAAAATATCATACAACTGTCAATGTCTCAAATTCTGTTTTGCATTCTTACCTGTATTATTAAGGACCAGAAGTCCTGACGTCCCTCTGAAAAACTGTTTCCCTGGCTCAAAATAAAGCCCAGGATGAATCTCTTCATATTGAAGATTCAACCAAACAGAGTAAGTTGTAAATTCGATAATATAAGGTGCTAATATAACTCCAATAAGTAGTAGCCTGAGATAATGAAATATTAAGCATGGGAGAAAAGTGACGTTTGATCAGTTCCATTCTATTGCATTTATAATATTAGGCATTATAGAGAAGTATTTGATAATTAATGAAGTGTGTTATCAGAATTCTTGAAGGACCGAAGACAAACTTCATTCTTCCATACAGACTCTTATTGATATCAAAGTTTTAAAATGTTTTTAAGAAGCAAAGTAGTTTTGTGGAAGTAGAAATGAAGTAGATGTTTCCTACTTGTTGAGATCTCCCTTCTGTGCTCTATATATTGAAGGAAGCCTTAAACTAATCCTAAAAATTACTTTGGTCGGACTTATTTACAGTACAGTAATCTCCTGGGGAACAATTGAATGAATATTCTATTACTAATTAAGTAGTAGGTAGTCCTCAACTTACGACCACAATTGAGCCCAAAATGTATGTTGCTGAATGAGTTTTGCCCCATTTTACAACCTTTCTTGCCACAGTTGTTAAGTAAATCATGGCAGCTGTTAAGATAGTTACACATTTGTTAAGTGAATCGGATTTAGTCATTGACTTTGTTTGTCAGAAGGTCATAAAAGATGGTCAC